TTAAAGCGCCCTTCTTTCTCCACGCTGGCTGTTGTCACCCTGTTGATGACGTCAGTGACGCGGTTTAATCGGGCGCAGTTTAGTCGAGCGCGGTTTTGACGGGTCACAGTTCCTCTATGTACATTTAAGTAGTCTTCAGTTACTGACTGCAAGTGGGACTGGCAGCTCCATCACAAAGCAATGAAGTTGAAAAATGAAATGTCATGTAACTGTGCTGACTTATAGTACATGTCAGTTTTGATTGTGGTTGTCAAGTGAATCACCTGCAGTTGTTAAGTGTGATATCACATGACCAAACCTGTGACCTCTTGCCAGCTTTCTCATTGACTTTGCTTGTCAGAAGTCAGCTGTGAAGGTCAGAAATGATGACCATGGCATACTGTGATAATTGTAAATGTGCTATTGTAATGTCAAACAGTTGCTGAACAAATGGTCAGTAAATTAGGACATACTTGCAATGTTACTGCCAGAGATCATTTCATGAACAGTACTAAATTTTGTCTCCCATATCCAACTCAGGCCTTTACAAGCAAAAGACTGTTCTCTATTATATATTGCCCTATTTCTCAAAATCTGTTAGTTATCTGAATAATTAAATTTGAGAAGATAATATGCACACAGATCCTTAATTGAAGAAACAGTAGAAAACAGATACACAGGAATCAGTCTTTGTTATTGAAACATTATTAAATTCCTTTCACTGATGTTTTGACAGTAATTACACTGAGTATCTGTAGTTTTAAAATTACTTTAAAAGTTGGTGAGAATTTCCTGTAAGATGCTAAAGCAAAACTTCAGGTTTGTTATCTTTGTCATCCTTACTTTCTTTAGAAATTGAAAATATTTATCCTGGTATTTACAATACAAAAGTTTGCTGAAATGCCTTCTGAAAAGAGATTTCAAGATTGTTTTCTTCTACTAGAGAAAAAGAAAATATAGTCTCTCAAACTTAAATGTGCACTTTTTGTTAGTATTCAATCACATTCCAAGGCATACTTTATAGGTAGAGTCTCTGTCATAAAGGTATGCACACATACATTCAGCAGAGATTCTCATAATCTGCCTGAGTGTTTCATGAAATATTTCATGAAGTCAAGGTCTAAATGCTTCCCAATACATACAAATTGATAACATTTTCAATGAAATCTTGCAAGTTAGGTTTCAAAACATCCCTATGACATCAAGTTGCTTCAGCAAATTGGGGTTAAATTATATACTGTTCCATTTGTGTGCTAACCCCTGCTGATTCAAGCAAACATCTTGTGACCCCAAAGTGTGATTGAAGCTCCCATCATCAGTCACTATTTATCTTGCTTACCAGACAATACCAGATTGAAATTAAGACTACAACAACACCTGAGTAACCATGTCCTTCCCTACTATAGTGCTTAGAAAAAAAACATCACCTCAAAACCCACCCGACACATCATCTCTGCTGGAATTCTAAGTCTCCATCATTCCACAGAAAGGGTAATTCATATTAGTCTGCTTTGCATTCAACACTAAATTAGAATTTAATGTTACATGCTATCTAACAGAAACATGGTCAATATACTATATCATAAACAATTTTCATTATTGCTTACTATGTTGAATAATTCACCTCACTGCACCATAGCTCTGAAATATTCATCCTTACCCTTCTACTTCCAGAACTGGACTGAGGTGAAGTTGGCTATTAGGCAGAGACAACCTTCCACTAGTACTTTGCAGGTTGAGATTTCATTTTAGAGACATTGGTAAAAATGGGATCTTTTTTCTACTCATAGACACAAAATAGTGGGAAAGAACCAACCTAGAACTAAGGCGAAATTTCCTGACAGAACAATTAGTGGAATGACTTGCCTCCAAAGGTTGTAGTTGCTCGAACACTGGAGGTTTTTAAGAAGAGATTGGACAACCATTTGTCTGAAATGTTATAGGATTTCCTGTTTGAGAAGGGGTTGGAGTAGAAGATCTCCAAGGTCCCTTCCAACTGTGTTATTTTGTTAAGAGAAAGAAAAAAAATGAAAACTGCAAATCTTACTGGAATTATTTTTCTCATTTCTAGAATTACGTCTTCTAAAAGCAAACAAACCCTCAAGACATACCAGATTAGGTAAACCAGATTAAAAGGAACAAGAATAAAAGTCTCTGTGACAAAAGAAAAAAAAAAGTTCGATTTATACAATATTGTATTTCTCGTTATAAATTCTTATCTCATTGAGTTTTACCATAGTCACCAGTAATAAGTTAAAAAAACAGCTATGCTGAGTTGGAATTCTGAGAGTTGCAATCCTGATACATATGAAGGACATCAGTGGAAGTCTAATAACTAGAGAGAAAAATATTTTTACCATGGAAATGGATGATAATAGGAAAATATGAAGCAGGAAATGTTCAACTTACCTGTGAACAACCCCTGCCCGATGTAGATGCTCAACTGCTAATATAAGCTGCCTGATGTATTTGCGCGCTTCATGTTCTTCCAACCTTTTTTTCTCATAGATTTTGTGCATTAAGTTGCCTCCTGGGCATAGTTCCATGACAAGGTAGTAACTATTTTCAGTTTCCAAGATATCCAGCAGTTGAGCAATGTTAGGATGACGAATCATTTGCTGGATCTGGCCTTCCCGTCTCAGATTCTTGGTCACATAGGTGTCCTTTTTTGCTCTTTTTTTATCAATAACTTTCACTGCCACCTAGTAAGAAACAAAAAATTGATATTTTAAATTATGGCATTTTCTTAATTCACAATAGAAAAATACATTTGAAAATGTAATATTTAAATTTATTTTTAAATTCTAGTATTCATCCCATCCTCACGTAAAAGTAAACCTCTGACAAAAGTACACGTTTCTGAATGAGTCATTTTGTGTATTTCTAAACAAAATCTCCATTTTCTTTTTTCTTCTTCTTGGAAAGTATCCATAGAGTTGTATCCAAATATTACATGAGGGACTTTGTTTATACAAACTTATAGTAATAATTGGTTTAGTCAAAAACAAATCTGTTTATGGAAAATATGTTTGCATATGTACAAATGTATACCATAAATGGCCATAATTTATGTAGAAGTTAGAAATGATATTACTAGATAAATATGTCTGGAAATCAGCTAATAATTTATATTATAATAAATGATAATTCAAACAGGCAAGTACCTACCACATAACATTCCATAATAGGTGTAGATAAGAAAGGCAAAAAAATGGACAATGGATGTTGCGCTCCCCAGAGACAGAAGAGAAGAGAAAGAACAGTAGAATATAAGAAATTAATGAGTTGCAAATAGAAATAGAAAGACTAACTCAAAAATATTGCTTGGATCTGTATATACTGCTTATTTTACCAATACATTACAACATCCTACTGTAGGCTCCTGGAAAGAATTTGATGCATACAAAGGTCAACAGCTAAAGGCGGCTGTGACTTCACAATGTTGTCAACAGATAACAGCAATCGGCATTGAGAAAGTCATCACCAGCAGCTTTACTTGGAACAGTGATATCTTTAACTCCATCAAACAACATCTGCCTATCTTAGGTCGCGGGGAAGGATTCAACAGGGATAAAAATTCCAAATCCAGTCCAAACATAGTCTTGAATGTGCAACCAACCGTTACAATTACAATTTTTCCAGAATTATAATATATAGAGAAACTGTTTGGTGTAATGGTTAAGGCATCACTGAGGCTAAAAACTGGGAGACCGTGAATTCTAGTCCCACCTCGGCTGGCAACTACGCGGAGGAGAGCCTTTTCTGTAGCAGCTCCGACCCTCTGGAACGATCTCCCCGTGGAGATTCGTACCCTCACCACCCTTCAGACCTTCCGCACAGCCCTCAAGATCTGGCTATCCCGCCAGGCCTGGGGGTAAAGATCATAGTTTGCCCCCGCCTGAATGTTGAATGAATGTTGTTTGATCTTAACTACATATTGTATTTTTATGTTATTGTACGTCTTCCCCTCCCATAAGTTGTTAGCCGCCCTGAGTCCCCTCAGGGAAAAGGGCGGCCTATAAATAAACGCAACTCAACTGAACTGAACTGAACCTTAAGCACAAAGCCAGCTGGGTGGCCCTGGGCTAGTCACTTTCTCTCAAATCAAGAAAGGAGGCAATAGCAAATCACTTCTGAAAAGCCTTGCCAAGAAAGCTGCAGGGAGTAATCAAAGCAGTCTCCAGGAGTTGATATGATTGAATGAAGCATATGAAAATATGTATATTATTATATGTATGTTTACCATAGGCAAGCTACTCTTTGGACAATGGCACTATCTGAAGCCTCTTCAAAGCTCATATCATCTTATTGCAGAGCTGAAATAAACTAATATAGCATTGCTAAGACCTCTATCATTATAGCCATCTTGAATAAGCATGGAACAATTGACATACCAGATTATTCAGCATAAGGGCACTCCTAGCTGCAGCCATCACTTAAGTATCCAGGTTCGAAGTAGAATAGGAAGCACTCCAAACCTTCTTGGAATAAGCTAACTCTCTTAGAACTGTTTGAGGTAGGGAAGTGATAAAGCGACAGGATAGGAGATAGAATTTAATTTATCTTTAACTTCAATAGCAATAATCTTATTTACATAAATGTAACCTGGCATGAGGCCCATTACTATCTTTGTATAAATTGCTTCTACCAGTGACTAGCATTCTGATTACTTCCTTTCTAAGAAAGAACTTGCCAAAATAATGAAAGTAATAAAATTAATCTACATCAGAAAGTAATTGTTGTAAACTACTTCTGGGGTAAAATATGAGTTACTAATGCCAGTGCAGTTTGACCTCATCTTCCAAATGGTGTCCTAAGGGTTTGAAATGAATGATAAATTTCTGCAGATCAAATGTGAAAAGTTGTGCCTGGATTAGATTGGGGGTGGGGGGGAGAGGAAGGAACATTACTGAGAGAGAGGCAACAAGCTGATCTTCTGCCAAGACGTAAAGAACAGAGCAATACTGCAACTAGCTTCACTTTTAATGAAAAGATCAAAGTAATGCTCTGTGCGGGAGAAGGCAGTTGTAAAAATTTGATAATAAAAATAAATTTGTTAAACATAGTAGCTGTTTAGCAATTTAATTGTGCAATATGCTAGTACATTACTGTAATATTGATTCCACAAGCTAATTTTTATGATTTTACAAACATTTTGGAAGAAAATCAGAATTTATATGCATGTATTTAAACAGAAGATGGATTTAGGTAACTAATTATATTAAACCTCGAGATAGCTATTTAAGCATGCAGTAGCTCTGTTACAGAAAATAGTTTGAAGCTGTTCCACGTGGTTAATTATCATATAAATACATCCTGCCTTAACCAAGTAACTGGCCTTGCATATGCTTTTGAAGTTGAGCATCATTCATTTAACGAGATTATTCTTAAGGATTCATCTGCTGAAAGCAAATCGATTTATGCATACTGGGAAGCTGTTCCTTGTTGGCAGAAGGTGGAAGTAGAGTAGTAGGAAGAACCAGAAAGAATACATTGTCTTCCAGTCACAGGAAACACCACAGGAAGAAAAATAAATATTATTTTAAAAGATTTGTGAACCATTTCATCTCCAAATTTAATACTCTCTACTTTATTAAATGATTTGGATGCTTTTTTTAAAAAAACTACCCTCTCTAACTTAATATCCTCCAGACCCAAAATTCTAAAAGCTACGGTCTCCTAAATAATTGGAGGTTGAGACAGATGTTTTACAGATGGTGGGCAGATATATTCTCTTATAGCTGAATATCTATCAGATCATCTTATTTGCATTAAACAAAGTTGTCAAAAGTTTTAAAAATCATTTTAAGTGAAAGGTGGCCTTCGCAATATTTGCTAAGAAAAATGTTTAAATCACATTCAACAAATACTTTTAAACAAAAAATGGCATGTTGTGCACTGAAAATTGTAGTCTTGGAAAATTCTGGTTTTTGTTTCATTTTTCACAACAACTTCAGCTACATATTACAATTTCCATATGACATAGCCTATGTCCAGGTAATCAAGATCTCAAGTTATGGCTTCGGGGGGTGGAGCCTGCCGCCGTCGGGAGCTCAGCGGAGCTCCTCTCAGGATTCTGGTCTGTATATCTTATAAGATCTATAGATATCTCACCTTTCTGGCAGAAAGGGGCAGGGAGAAGGTC